TAGAAAAAATATCAGCAGAATTAAACTCATGACTGAGTACAGAGTTTTTGTGTATCATGTTAAGCCCCATTTGATTGAGAGAAAATCATATTTTAAGTAGATTTTAATAAAAATTAATAAAATATATGATCGAACAAATTTTAATCTATGAAGTATGATTAAAATTAATTATTGACTCTAACTTAAGGAAGAGTTTAAATGACTCTTCATATTGAAAGTACTATTGTGCCCATAGCAAATGACAAAATAAGAAAATGATAGTGCATATTTTGCAAAGTTTAATTTATAATTTAAATTGGTCAAATATATTTTTTATTCACAAGTATCGAAAGGGGTTAGCAATATAAGCAAAATAGAACCTGCTGAACTAGAATTTCATAAATGGAACCGAATGACAAAATATCCGAAGTTTAAAGCATGATTTCAATTTTTAATATTTGCATAGAACCAATTGCTATATTTTGTTGTTAATAACTATGTCATATTTATTAGTTTGTTCAAAAGAATAGTAATAAAAGACAAGCAATCAGAACAATTAAAGAAGTTATTGGAAAAATTGAGTATCCTAATTTTTAAAGTAGAGACGTGCAAAGTTTGATAAAACTACAACAAAATAGACCTTTTATGGCATGCATTGCAAGCCATAAAAGCCTATTTACGACGTGCGGCTGCATGGCGTATAAAGCAATGCTGTAAATAGGGAAATTTTTTTACGGCATGCAACGCCGTTAATAACTATTTACGGCGTGTTATCCATTTACGGCGTGGGGGATTATAGCATGCACATGCATGCCGTAAATTTTAATTCAGTTTTTTAAAAATATTTTCTCATTTGGTCACCAACTAACGCATAATAATTACAAAAAAAAAAATACAAATTAATCATATATAGTCAGATTTTACATATTTCCGATAAACAAAAATAATGAATACGGTTCAATACAATATGCCAACACCTAGAGTTTGTCTAAATAATTCTAACATCATTAACCTACTCCAAAAATTATATAGCAATTTGTCAAATGTATATACTACTATTTAAAAAAATAATTAAAATAATAGAAAATATTCAATGCATATCGAAGTTTGCTTTTGTGACCAACAAATTAGCTATCCAAAAAAATAATCAATTCCCTCAATATCACAAAAATAATCAGGGCATAATTAGCATGCAAATGAAAAGTATATCAAGAAGTATATTATCTTTTATTTAAGCAACGTAGTATGGCTAGTAGTTAACTTTTAGACTTGAATTTAAACAAGAAATTTATGATTATGCATCAAAGCATTCAATTTTGAACTACCTACGTGGGCCATATATGCTATCTTTTCCCGTGCACCGAAGCATTTAATTATCATCAAACTTTTGTAGTTCTTTCACTCTCTGTCATGTTTATGCTTCACAATCCTGCAGTCATAGCAAATCGTGTTTGTAAGTAAACGTTAGCTAGCATCATCTGTATGTCAGTGAGATTAACAAACTATTTGGCTGCTTGTTATTCAACGAATTCTGAGTTTTAGACTACCAGGATACCTATAATAAATTATAAAACAAAATTTAGAGCTTTAGACCACGGCACTCTTCGTCTTCTATCTGCTACATGGCCTCTGCACTTGTATTCTCCAA